GCTCCCGTTCCGAGCACTGGTAGGCATCGAGACGTATGCCATACCCTAACTCATGCAGTCGTTGCGCGTTATCGTATTGATCGGCAAATACGGGCAAAACTATCATTGGTTTCCCGAAATACAGGCTTTCCGTCACAGTATTATTGCCTCCGTGTGTGACCACCAGATCGACGACTGGCAGCACCTGTATCTGCGGCACCGACTGCTGGCCCCACATGTTGTCCGGTAAGTCATACTTGTCATGGAGTGGACCCTTGGATACTATGAACCGGTGCCGGGATTTGCCTAATATTGCGATCAATCTCTTCATGTTTGCCAAATCCGATGACACCATAGATCCCAACCCCAAGTAAATTAGTTTTCCGGGTTTGTCCAGTAATGGGACGGGTATGTAAAACGCCGATCCCTTATCCTTTCTCATGAGGTTATCCAACTGGAGGTGTTTGTCAGGTATGGGCCGTATGTCTGTGTAATCGACTTCTTGTGGAAAGGGATAGACATTAAGATATGGCGAGCGATGAAAGTATTGACAGACATCGAGTGCCGGCAAACCCTTTCCCACAATAAAATCGTTGAATGTTTTCCACATATCATAGGTCTTCTCAATGACTACCTGTCGAAAGGCTTTCCACTCATTCTTAGCATTTACGGGAAGTCCTAAAAAATTAAATATTAATAAATTACATTCAATATAAAAATAACAAATAATGACATTATATAATGCATACCAATATAATATAATGTATATTATACATTGATTAAATTATTAATAATAACACAATTAATAATAACACAATTAATAATAATAATAATAATAATAATATTTTACAGTTCATAAATTAGTTATTTAATTATTTACATGTTATTCAAATATAATCTTGATTATATGAAATATGATATTATAGATATATTTAAATTTCATTTTAATATAAGTTTATTTAAAATTATAATTATAATTATACCTGAGCCTTTAGGCGGAGTCCTTTCATCATCAATCAAAAACAGTGGATTAAAACTGCAAATCCAAACCCATGGGATGCCTGCCCTCTCAACCGCCGGCAAACAGATAACTTGATCCATGAATATGACATCCGGTTTCAGACTCTCAATAGTACTCTCAATCCGCTCATTAATCACATCCGAGTACTTCATAAACAGGGGCAACAACTTGGTGTACCATGCTAACATTTTTTCCAGAGATCCATTACTCGATATCATACCCGACTCCTGAAACACTAGCGCCCACTCGAGGGCCGGGTCGCCACCGGTTTGCCTACCGCTCACACTCTCGTGTGTTATTTCGGTTATACCGTATTTGGCGGACAGTTTACCCCTCCATTGGTTGTTCATAAGGAACGACACCTTATGGCCCGACTCTATCAGCTGTTCGGCGATACCTAAGCACGCGTTCACGTGTCCCGTGCCGTCCATAGGGATGAATAGGACATTTAGACTGCGTTTCGACATTTATGTCAAACCTTTTATTATTTAACAACTATTTGTAATTAAAACAAACAATATGTTGATTATTATACTATATATTAGTTTAGAAATGCGTAATAAACTTAATTTACGCAGTATATAAATAGGCAAATTTTTTATCAATTTTGTTTTTAATATTTAAAAATTATGGCATAGCAAAATTATCAGTACTTATGTACAGTTAAACCTCATTAATTAATTAATTTTATAAGATTTATTAATATATTTATTGTCTAGTGTATAATTAGAAAATAAAGTAAGTTTAGTAAATATTTATTTTAAGTACAAATTTATGAAATTTTGTGGTAATATTCTGATCAATATATTGATAATGTAATTTGTAATGTTAAATTTATTTTAATTTATTAAAAATAGAATGATATTAATGTAAATAAATTTATTAAAAATAGATTTGATACTTAACAAATACTGTACTGTATAAACATGTTTAATTTGTGTTTAATTTAATACATTTATATTGATTTAATAAAAATATTTGCTGATATAATAATTTACATCTACAATTATACTGTAAGGGTTTATAAACTGTTTAGTATAAAACACAGTGTAGTAAACAATTTGATTAGATTTTATATAAAAAATATAATTTAATATTTATTTGTCATTACTGCTCACAAAAAAATACAAAATTAATTATGTATTGGCTTGTAAACTAAGTACTGTCAAATTCATTATTTTGAAAACTACATTGATTAAAAATAATTTGAAAATATACTTTTTTCATATTTTCATTGTCTTTCTGTGCATCAATGGACAGACACCT